TCCAAGTTAATAAACCCACTGAGCTCCTTCCACCAGAATGATCAATTTTCAGCATGTCCAGAGGCACACCGCTCCGCAGAGCCTAATACTGATACAATTCAGCTTCGGCATCGGATCACGCCGTAAATGGGTCCTCAATAAACCGCTACACGGGGTGCAGCATGTTCAGCGGTGCATGGCTCCCACAAGTCCCTCTTCTGAAGGGGTTGTCCGGCTTTGCAAACCAAGATCCTTCTCCTTTTTCACAGCTGTCCTGTTATTGATTTGTTTCAATCAATAAATTAAACGGCTCACTAACAAAGATTAAATTGTGCGGACTGTATATTGTGAAGAGCCAGACATTCATTTATACAGACACAAAGTTACTTAAAGGAGAACTATGGGGTTAGGGCTTTTCCCCATAGTTCTCCTTAGGGTAACGGGAGGACACACACTAGCCTCCTCCCGTCACCCTAGGCTCAGTATACTGCGAGCTACAGCGTATACTAAGACGCTGAAGCGTATCCCGACAATTATGTCTGGATCCGCCCAGCTGCGTGAGTGACAGCTGGCTCTGCCTATCTAGAGGCAGAGCCAGCTGTACCCGCCCCCGTCCGTTCCGCCAGTCAGCGCTGGAGGATCGGAGCGGGGAGGGGGGAATCCAGCCCCTCCCCTGTCACGGCAGAGAGCCGTGACAGGATCGAGAGGTGAGCGAACGCCGGTATGTGTTCGCTCACCTCCCGATCTACTGAGCCGACCTGTGACAGTCTCATTGTCACAGGTCGGCTAGAACTATGAGGTGAGTGAAAAGCACTCCCCTCATAGTTCTCCTTTAAGGGTCATGGGAGGACATAAACTAGCATCCAGGTTGCATTATACTGAGACCGCCGCAGACGGGACGGATCCTGACATTCTGTCGAGATCCACCCAGCTGCGTGCGTGACAGCGGGCTCTGCCTATCTAGAGGCAGAGCCAGCTGTACTCGCCCCCTCCCCCGTCCGTTCCGCCAGTCAGCGCTGGAGGATCAGAGCGGGGAGGGCCCCTCCCCTGTCACGGCAGAGAGCATAACCATCAGGGTGGAAGATTCCCCCTCAGCCTCTATGCTGGTGACAACTGTAAAGTTTTTGAACAGAGTTTTCTTTTTTTAGTCACGGCACCCTTTAAAAGTATACAAAATCTCGAGGCATCCCAGTCTAAAATTTTATAAATTTTAAGGGGAACACCAGGTAAAAACTCACAAAAAAAGTGCGTTTTCTCCTCCTTCACATCAGAGTCACCCTTTGCATCAGGAGCCCCTCTTTCACATCAGAGTTCCCCCTTCAGCTCAGTCTTCATTCTTCCCTTCACATCACAGTCCCACTACAACAACATTCTAAGGCACCCCTGAGGAAACCAGAAGCCACACCAATGGGCCACAGCACCCAGAAAGAAAGGCTGTTTTAGAATTCCCATCACTTTGGGGTTTATGTATAAACAATACATTTATAAATAATAGCAAGAAAGTTAACTTTGATTAAAATGATTATTCTTGTTATTATGTCTTTAATAAATCGAATGCATCTTCGAACGTCATCATAAGTATTTATTTCCTATGCTCATCATCGCCATCTAGTAATAGTAACATCGTGTAATACGCCATAAAGCAGTATTACACGATGACAACAGAAAATACATTTGTTTTCTAAAGAAAGAAATTAGAACGTCAATTTGGTGCATCCATAGGAACAAACAATCACAAAGAGTCACAGGGCCAATGGCTCTGTGAACTGTTTATAAATCGTGTCCTGGAAACACTGTTGAATAGACACTGTAGAGAAGTTTACTGGAGAGAAAGTAGAATGTCTCCAGTAGGAACACCGCCTGGTGTTCAACTTTAAGGATTGCCTATGTCATTTAAAGTGTAACAAAGATGCAACAAAGGATGCAAAGAGTATTT